ATAAAGAGCATTTATCTCAATCTGTAGTAGTCTTCTGTATTAGTTATCTGTTCCTGCCTTACAAATAAGCCCAAAATGTAATGGTTTAAGATAACATATATTTATTATCTCATCATTTCTGTAAGTCAGGGACCTGGGCTTGGTTTCACTGGTTATAAGGGCCTGACTGTGTGTGTCCTTCCCAAATGCACACATCAAAACTGTATCTCTCAGCGTGATGGTAGCAGGAGGTGGGGCCTTCGGGAAGTTATTAGGATTTGATAAAGTCACAGAGGTGAAGTCCTCACGAGTGGGGTTTGTGTCCTTGTAAGACTCACGAGAGAGCTTGCTTCCTCTCTCTCTTCCCAGCAGGTGAGGACAGTCGAGAAGTTGGCCGCCCGGGCTCTGGAAGTGGCAGTCTTTTTACGACTCAGGCTCAGAAGCGCTCCCCCGTCACTTCTGCTGCCTGGTGGTCAGAAGTGAGCCCAGCGCGGGCTCGGGGGAGGGGATGATAAAAGGGCCTGAATCCCAGGAGGTGGGCGGGTGGGGGGATCGCTGGAGTCATCTGGGAAGCTGCCTCCCCCAGAAACTAGAAACACCACAGAAAACAGGACATCCTGTATAATCACAACAAAGTCACAAAGTCTCAAGTAATTCACCTAAGAAAGAATGTACGAGACCGTCTTGAAGAAAACTTTTGAAGGTCACGGAGAAGACGTGAGAAATGGCTGTCAGGGAAAAGGAACACTGGAAAGGTAACACTCCCCCCAGACTGGTGCAGTCACAGTGAACAGCGCCCTAGAACGTTTGAGGAATGTGATAATATTTTTTTCCCCTAAAACGTTCATGGGAGGTTAAACATGCTCAAGCAGCCAAGTCAGCTGTGGGAAAGGAGAATGCAGCAGGAGCCCATCGCCGCGGCTACCTCTCGAGGCCTCCCACAAAGGCATCGTGGCGGACACGGCGGGACCCCAGCGCCAGAATACAGAGCTAAATCAATGAGACGGAAATAAGGGCCTAGCCGAGACTCCGCTGGACCTAAAAAGTTGACACGGGACCAACACCCCGCCGTCATTCCCTGCGGGGGAGGATGGCTTGTGTTGGGACACGGGGCCATCCGTGGAGAAAGCCCGAGATGGGCCCCTTCTTCGCAGAGGGGAGCCCCAGAGGGTTACAGCCCGCGCGTGGAACCCGCGGCACCGCGGGGGGAGACGATGACGTGGCTCCGCGTCACGACGGGCTGGCCTCTGCCGCAGGAAGCACAAGGAGATCCCGCGAACCGACACCAAGGAAACCCTACTGAACGTGGACCGGGGCATGCGAACGGGAGACACACGCAAAGGGGAGAACACGAGTGTCCGACGAGCACAGGACGGGGTGTGCAAGCGCACAGGAAGCCAGAGAGAAGGAAGCGGAAGGATAAGACGAGACGTCCTCAGCAGACTGCTTGGCAAAGGTCAGGGAGCTGGAGCGCGCCCAGCAGAGAGGAAGACGGGGGATAGGACAGTGGGTGGGGGGGTTGGTGTTGGGGTCCGTAGATTCGCCGGCTCAGACTGCAGCCTGGAGGTGCCTGGGGGGATTAAAAATGTGGGCCAATGCTTTGGAATGAGCAGACTCCAGCTGGGAGTGTCTTCGCCCCCTCTGCAGGTCCCCAGTGGCTGGTTCCTCGTGTCCCCCTCCCCGCTGCTGCGGAGCAGGACAGTGTCCGAAGGGGATGGCACTGCTGGTGGGGTGGGGGGGACCGCGATGAGAGGTCATTTGCATTGTCACCTGGTGAGAGAGGTACCTACACAGTTCTAACGGCTTTGCCTGAGGAAAGTTCCCTGATGCGGTCATCCCAGGCTCCCCCGCACCTTGGCAACTTCCTATGACGGGCAGCCCCACCCCTTCTCCTGGGAGAAATCGAGGCTCTGGATCCTTGCCGCACATCCAGCAGAGGGGCGGACGCAGAGGGGTGGGCGCAGGCAGGGGTGTGTGGAGGGGAGGGGGAGTCAGAGCTGCTCCTCAGTCCAAGAGGGTCTTTCCCTGCCTCCCAAGAGGGAGCTGCCAGCCCTCGGGCTCTTTGACTTACCGACCCTGGCCTTTCTCAAGCCAAATACCTATTTGTCTTCAGGAACCACAGAGCTGAGGTCCACTTTGAAAAGGCGGTCTCTGCTAACTAACAAGGCTCTGACAGCACCCCAGACTGTGATGGGCCCTGCTACTGCTGGCAGGGGTGTTTCTGTTCCCGCAACTTTGCCGCCCCGAGATGTTTGGTGGCAATATCACAGAGGGACCCCGGAGTTTAAGTTCCGAGTCGCCCCGTGATTGGAGAGCCCTGGCTGGGTTGGGGGCGGATATTAGGATTCTAGATAAATCACAGAATGAACGAGAAGCAGCAGCAGGGCCGACAGAGAGGTGAAAATACAGCATAATTGTTACTGAAGAGTTCTGGAAGCTTCTGTGGGTGTTTGGGGCAGAAAAGCACAGGGTGGGTGTCTTAGCCTGAAACAGTGTGGTCCACCGGTCAGTCCATCTGTCCACCAGCAGACTTGAGGACGCTGGACATCGGGTGTTGACCCGTACGCCTCTCTGCACACCCCCTCCGGCTCCACCTTCTTTCGTCCTGACTGGAGGAGGCCAGTGGACGCCGATGCAGCGTAGGTGGGAAGACTCACTGCGGTCACAACCACAACGTCGGCCTGCGTTCGCTCAGAGCCTGCTTCGTTCGGGGCTATCATGAGTGGCCTCGGACGCTTTCTCGTGTTCGGTTCTCACCACGCCTCCTGAGACGGGGACGGTTGTAATCACGCCCATTTTTACGGATGAGAAGACCAGGCTCTGAGGAGGGAAGTGACTGGCCGCGTAGCTGAGAAGTGGAGGGGCCGGGGTTTGAACCCCTGCCGTCTCACCCCAGGGCCGCACCCCTCCCCTGGCCATCACGTCCCGTGCCCTTGCTGCGTCCTCTCCACCCGGGATGATGGGAGCGTCTCCCATGCAGTTGCATCTTTGCTGTGTACGGGAAATATTTTTTATCGTTTTAAAAATATGGTTCTGAATAATTTTTGTTACAGTTGTTTGAGGAAACTTGAAGGGTTTTTTTTGTTGTTGTTGTTGTGCCTATGGTGGAATTCTTAAAATTACATTTCCTGACTATTACTTAGTAACTTTAAACTTACCATTTTTCTTAACTGCGAATAAAGCCACGCGTGAATTCAAAAGTACATGAACTCCGCCCCGCTCTCAAGTAGAACGAGGACATCGTGCGATCTTGCTGGTCTCGGCCGTGTCCCCGTTTCCTGAGTGGAGGGCGGGCCGTGGGCGGAAGGGTCAGGGAAGCAGGCAGCAGGGGACAGCCAGCGGTTGGCCTGTCACGGGGAAGAACCGCGTGTTTCCCGTGAAAGGACCGGATGACTCCTGGAATCCAACCCCCCAACAGAAGGGGGGGGCGCAGAAGCACGGTCACTAAGTCTGTTTCCCAAAACACCGTCCCTGCAGCATTCTGCAGGGAGACGTGGGCTTGGGAGCAGCTGGTGGCGGGGAGACCAGGGAGGGAGACCAGGGAGGGAGACCAGGGAGGGAGCCATTGCAATGTTTGCGGAGCGAGGCGCTCCAGGTCTGACCCAGGTGAGGGTGCGGGAAGGATGGGTGTGGGGAGGGCCTGGTGTGGGAAGCCTGTCTCGGGCGAAACCAACAGTCTTGGCTGACTCGTCACATGTTGGGGGAGAGCAAGAGAGGGGCGGTCGAAGCTGTCCCCAGGAAGAGTGACTCAGGGGAAGCAGGCTGTGCTGGGAGGGGGCGGGGTGGACACTGTGGGGACACAGGTTTGGTGTTGGGTTGGTACAGGTGGAGAGGCAGGAGGGTAGTCATGGAAACGCTGAAGCATGCTGCTGGGAAAAGAGAGTGCCCCAGTGAGACGGGAAGGACGGGTTTGGGGAGGTTTGCGCGGTTTATGGGAAGGACGGCTGGGACCAGCGCTGAGCAGGAGGAAGCTGCTGGCACGTCCGTACGTGGTGTCCGAGGCCGGAGGGAAGGGTGGAGCCAGTCCAGGGAGAGTTGCCATCTTTAATAACAAACAAACAAGCAAGCAAGCAAATAGGACCATGGTCAAATCTGAACTTCACATAAACAGCGAATAACTTTTTTCAGTATATTCCATGTAATATTTGGGACCTCGTTATCCTAAAAATTATTTATTGTTGACCTGAAATTCAAGTGTGACTGGGCGCCCTGCATTTCACTTGGCAGCCATAACTGGGGCTGCAAATGGAGGTATCTCCGTGGACCAGGCTGGCCTTGGCTGTGCCCGGGGTGGCGGGGGAGGGCGGGGCGTGCAGTTGGGCAGCCTGGAGCACCCGTCTGGTCTGTGGGGGCAGCTGCTGCCCAAGTCCACTGCCTGCATTTGCAGAGTTGGCCTCGAGCGTGTCCAGGGTTCTAATGTTCAAAAACAGAAGAGCAACACGTATATTTTAATGTGAAGTATCCCAATTTTAATAAGGGACCACCGATGAAAAGGACAAATGCGAGGTACAAAGCAAACAGGTCTGTTGGTTCCATACGGCCCACAGGCCACCGGTGTGCACCCTCCGATCTCATCGCTGGAGGCTGGCGGGGGGGGGGGGCAAGTGTTGAACCTGCACGTGATGGGGTTTTGCCAGGTCGGGGTACGTGGTGCTTTGTCGGGGGGGAGGGGATGATGGCAGGGATGGCTCCTTCATGCAAAAAGAAAAAAGAAAAAGAGAAAGAAAAAGAGAAAGAAAAAGAAAAAGAAAAAAAGCGATGTGGAAGTGACGCTTCCAGCCACAAGTGCAGGAGTGTGCCCAGGGCCACTGCCCCCCCCACCCCGGAGCTGGGGGCGGTGGCCGGAGCCCCGGGACTGCCCCCACGACCCGACCTGCAGGGCGGGGCCTGAGCTCGGGGCCTCCCCGCCAGCCCTCAGGACGCTCACCGGCCGCCGGGGTTTCGCAAGCTTTCATCAGAAAATTGTGGGTGGAAACTTCCCGGGTTTGTGCCGAGCTTCTTGAGGCTTCTCAGCTTCAGATGCAGAGCGAGTGGGCGTCTCTCTGAGAAACAGAAAGAGAGAACGAAAGCGAGGTGTTTCCCTCGGCCATGGAAACGGTATAAAGAAGGAGCCGGCTGCCCTCCTCACGAGCAGTGGGTCCTCTCGTGCCGTCTGGGGCTCCACGGGGTTGAGGAGCCCCCTGCGTCGGGGGCGGCCCGAGTCTCTGGCTGCCATGCAGCAGACCCTGAACTACCCGTACCCCCAGATCTACTGGGTGGACAGCGGGGCCACCTCGCCCTGGGCCCCTCCAGGGACGGTCCTCCCCTGTCCCCCTTCAGTGCCTGGAAGGTCTGGTCAAAGGAGGCCACCACCGCCTCCGCCGCCGCCACCACCGCCGCCATCACAACTGTTGCCTCCCCTGCCGCTACCACCTCTGAAGAAAAGGGACCACAACCCAAGCCGGTGTCTCCTGGTGATGTTTTTCATGATTCTGGTGGCCTTTGTTGCCGTGGGGCTGGGGATGTTTCAGCTGTTCCACCTGCAGAAGGAGCTGTTCGAACTCAGAGAGGTAAGCTGCCCTGCGGCCGCCGTGTCCCCAGTGCTGGGGGTCAGGCAGCTCTGCGCGGTGGTGGTGGGTGTCAGTCTACCCCAGTCCCCAGAGACCATGGTCTTGCTTGCACAGGGCTTTTCGATCCATTATTCCTGTCCTAGAAATGGACGGTTTAGTCACTCTGTCTACAGTCAGAGACCTGCAGGCTCACATTAGTTCAAGGGAGATTTCCTGCCGTGGAAGGGCTCGGGGCCAGAGTCCGACTGGCAGCGACATTCTTCCTCCCGGGGCTGGCAAGGCAGCCCTGGTGAGCCACGTCCCTCGTGACTCAAGAAAGAAAGCAGCTTGGGCCTCGCTGAGAAGTGAATTTGTGCGAATGGCCAAACTAACTTATTTTTAGAGAAGGCTTAAAACTATTGGAAGTATTCCAAATCACAAAACCGAGGCATGAGGAGACTCAGATGTTTGGCCACAGTCGGAACTAGGAGAACTAGTGAGGGATCGAGATTCCTTTCCAGCACTTGGTTCACTTGACAGGGTTACCTCCTTTGCTTAGAAAACTTTAAATTTGTTATACAACTTTTTTTTTTTCTTGTTGCCAGTCTTCCAGCCAAAGGCATGTAGAGTCATCTTTGGAGAAGCAAATAGGTGAGTCCTTTTATGCATGTACGTTGAGTTTCCAAAGATGGTCCTCAGAGCTGGACCGTGTTGCTGGAATGGTCTGAGTGGCATCTGTTCTGGGACACACTTCTCTGCAATAGCGATCCTGGCTGATTCCGCATCTCTGGTCCTTCTTGAGCTGCCCTCAGCTAGGAAGTAAATGTAATTGTTCAAAGTCAGTGTATCTGAGTACTGAGCATGATTCAGCATGATTTCCACTTGACTTTGGGAAGAGGCACACACCTCTACAACCCTGGCCCTTTGTCCCCTGAGCAGCAGCTGGCCTCCAGGGTCCCCTACACAGGGCGGTGGCTGTAAGTCCCTGGAAGAGCGGGGAGGTGGGGGCAGAAAGAGGTGTTTCTAGGAAAGCTCTTCTCCTCTCTCAGTTCTCTAAGGGATCACTCAAGAGTCAAGCTTCATTTAAAACGTATTTTCTAGGCGATGTTTTAGCTTTTCAGAAGTGGGGACTCCAGGGTCCACACTAGGATGGTCTTTGGCAGTCATTAGAAAGCTGGGGGGAAGACTTCAGCCACCGTTCAAAAGGTGGTCCAGCTTGCCCCTCAGAGCTACCTTCAGCCATGAAGGAAAATCCTTTGCACGAGACACAGGGCACGAGGAAGAGGAGAATGTTGAACACTGGCCTCATGACGTTTCAGGACAGAATTCTGGAAACTGCAAACAGCTAGACTTTGGACATGCCGGCTCTTGTTGAGCTAGGGCGCATTGAACTTGAGATTTGGTGTGGGCTGGAAGGGAGCTCAGACCCCACTGGGTCCAATTATCGCACTCTACGTAAGAGGGACGAAACCCCAGGCAGACGAGGTGACACACCCAAGACCACTGAGGTGGCCCCGTGGGGCTTCCTGGGGCAGGGACAGATGCCTGGGGAAGTCGGGCAACGCCCCTCTCTGTGAGGGCTGCGGAGTGCGCAGGAGAGACGACAGGCCAGAGGGCTCCGCACAGGCAGTGAGCAAGTCTCCCTAGAAGTTGGGAAGAAGGCAGGAGGTAGCACTGGCCGCCCAGCGAGGGCAGCCTGTTCCTCAGGCTGTGCCCACTCGGGGGGCCCAAGTCGCCCTGATGCCCTTGCAGGTTGGAGCCAGCCTGAGGTTGCTCCGGCCCTGGGTTCTGGGTCCGAGTCCCTGAGTGTCAGAAAGTCCAGATGTACACAAGCCGAGTAGAAATATTTGCTCGAAAACTAAAGCCTCTGGAAGATTTCTAGACTAAAATAGGTTGGAAAATCAGTGGAATGGGGCTGGTGAGCCAGGGACCTAATTACTCATCGTTCGCCCACTCTCTGGAGTCGTTTTGGTGACGAAAAGTTAAGAACAGATGAGTCAGGTCTACCAACCCCACAAAGCCATGATCTTCTCCAGATCAACCCAGATGGACCCGAAAGTGGTGGTGGGTTATCGCACGGAAATCAAGTCAGCAACTTTACTAATAAGATAAGAGGTGAATATTAAAGTGAAGGAGACCCATTTGCATCCGTCAATTTAGTAAAGATTAAAAAAAAAAGCAAACCCAGATTGGCAAAAAGGTGAGAGAGAAGGACCTGCTTAAACACCCGCTGATAGCCAGGGAGCCTGTAAATTAGTGTACTTTTCCTGAAGAGCAGTTTGGAAACATATCAAGGGGTTAAAACTGTTCGTTTACCTTGCAATCTTATCACAAAGAATTTATCTTCACAAAATAATTAGAGGCGTGCTTGAAAATGTATGTATAAGGATGTTCGGCACTTCTTCATAAGGCTACTATAATAAGCAATTCCGAAGAAACTTAAATGCCTCTTAATAAGAGATTAGTTGGATACACCGTGGTGTATTCAGGTGGAGCATAATAAGCAACAACTGCAAAACCATATATTAGAAGGACGTCTAATGCCATGGAGATTGTGCACTCTGTAGTGTTAGGTAAGAAGACAAGTTAGTTTAATATTGACCCTGTACGTACACGCATATCCTTCTATCTTTCTGTTCTTAGCAGAGGCCCAGAAGAATTGACACTTTAACGTGGTCCCAGTGATCCTCTCTGGGAGACACTATTTAAGCCTTCTCCTGTACTTCTTTTTCCCTTTCCATTTTCCCACAGTTAGCTCATTAGATCTTTCATTCATTCACAAGTGTTCTTGGGGTGCTTCCTAGGTGCCAGGCTGGGGGTTGGGTTGGGGGTGACCCTCTGAGAACAAGAGAGGCAGGGGGCCTCCCCACCCTGAGCTTTAAGCAAGCTGGAGAAACTAAACGAAAGCAGGCAAACAGACCGCAGCATTTCAAAGTGCATGCACTAAGTGCCACCTAAGACAGAGCGGTTTGGGAAGTCCCCTCCAGGAGGTGCTGTGTGTGTGTGTGTGTGTGTGTGTGTGTATGTGTGTGTGTGGAGCAGGGGTGAGAGGTAGGAAAAGCATTTCGGGCCTGCAATGGCGTGTGCCAGAATCCTGGGGCATCACCAAAGGGCAGGGTGTGCTTGTAGTCTCTTCACTCCAGTACTGACCAAGCAGACACGTTGATGGAGGGCCCTCCCCGAGAGCCGTGCCGTCCCGGGCCCTCTGAGGGCCACAGAGGCGTGCACCGCTTCCTGCCAGAGCGTGGCTTGCTGCCAGGGGTGCCGTGCGGGCGGCTGCTGGCACAGGAATGCAGGCGAGCCTCGGCCCTGCCTTTCCTGTTCGCTAACGCCACATTCGTGGGGGGTGGGGGGTGCGATCTTGGGCGGCTACAGGGGCGACACAGGCTCAGGTAACGTCCTCAGCGGACCGGGGCATTCCGACGCACCTTTCTAAGAATCTTTCTCGAATCAGCCTTCATGCGTTTCATGAGCTAAGTGGTAGGTCTGTTTGGTTCAATAGTTGAAGTCAGAGAAAGGAGCATCTGTCATGAGAACTACTGTCTGCTTTAGCTCCTTCAGTTTAATTTGGAGAACATTTACTGGTCGCATGCCCTGTATTAAAAACCGAACTAAACGCCCTGGTGGGTTGAAGCGGCAGGAAGGAGTTTACCACGGACTCAAGACAGTTAGGCCAGTGACACAGTTTTTGCAGAAAAGGAGAGTCCAAGCTGACCAGAGAGGCGAAGGCAGAGTGACGCTGGGTTTCCGAGGAGGGAAAAGTCACATCTGATTAAAAAGGCTTGGGAGGGTATCAAGTCCCTCCCCAAAGAAACAGGTCTTTCTGAGGGTATTTATAGGGTTGATAGGAACTGGCCCCAGAGATCTGTCTGGAAGGGCATTCTAGGCAGAAGGAACGGCATGAGCAGAGGCACCGAAGCTGGGGAGCTGGGTGGGGGAAACGGACACAATTCCACGTTCAGTGGAATCTTCCAAGGCAGTAGAACTAATCTGGGGCAGGTTGGAGAACGTCCCTGGGGGAAGACCTAGGAGCCAGGAGGTGGGTCTGCTGTCCTCTTTGGCCTGTGGCCCACTGAGTCCTGGGGACAGTGAGGCCAGAGTGGAGAGAGTCAGGGCTCTGGAGCAGTGACCCCACACTGACTCTTCCTAGACAAGCCGCCCCATGAGGCAGGACAGTAGTCTCCGCCCGAGAGGGCTGTGGCACATTCTAAATGCAGTCACTAATATGACAGCTCTGGATTAATCAATGCAATGACTAATGAATGTGGTTTTATTGTAACATTACAATGTATGCCCCCGTCTATCTGAATTTGCCTTTTTTTATTTACCTCTCCGTGTCTAAAACACAGAGGCTGCGAGTTCCACAGTGTGGACTTGCATGATTCGTATATGTTAAGACTATTGCCATTTATGCCTTTAAAATTTTTTCTTATATTTAAATATCGTGTTTAGAGTTCCACCGAAAAAACTGTCGGTATCTCATGTCTACTTGTCTCTCCTCTCTCTCTCTCTCTCTGTGATACAGGACACCCCGCTCCGCCCTCTGAGAAAAGGGAGCCGAGGAAAGCGGCCCATTTGACAGGTCTGTATCCGTAAGGTGTGGGTTGCAGAGAGCAGAGCCACTGCGGGTTTCCACTGCTGTGTTCTGGGGGCGCAGGTGATGGGAGGGGAGGCCCAGTCTGGCACTGGTGGGCTCTCTGCATGCGGTGCGGTGGAGGGAAGTGATCCATAACGCTGTGGGAGGGGCCTTCCCCGTGCGTCGTGCACACACATCTGAGAAGCGGCTAAGCATCCCAGGCAGTAGCGTGCCGCCGTCCCTGGGATCACTGAGGCGGAGGCTGTGGAACGATCCAGTTTGGACCGACAGACATTTATAGAGCACGCCTGGGTGTGCGCCGCGCCTGGGGTCGTGGAGATACATCACACGCAGTTCCCACCTCCCTGAGTTCCCGAGGAGCTCACAGGCCAATAGGGAGAGGGGCGCCCAAGTCACCGCTTCAGCACAGGAGAGCCATCTCTGCTTAAGGAGTGCTCGGACTGCTGTGGGGGCCCGGGGAAGGGGGACGTCAGCCCCAAGTGAGGGATGCAGGGGAGGTGCTGGGCCAGGTGATCCCCGAGGGCCTTGCCGACTTTGGAACCGTAGACTTCCTTGGATTTGGCTTTTCGCCTCATGGGAGGACCCCGATGCCTAACCGTTTGGGCGCTGGTTCTGAGGATCCCAGAACCTTTGTTCCAGGGACCTAAACTAGCCCCACCCATTTCTCACGGCCATGGATTAGGGGCATTTATTATGGCCCCATGGTGTGTCCCGAGAGTGTGGATGATAAAACCGAAGCAGGCCATTTGATAAAGGTGTTGAAGGAATTTAGTGATGGGTGAGTCTGACCCCTTGGCCAGTTCCAGGAGGGCTGTGTCATTTTGGGAAAAACAAAACAAAACAAAATAAAACAAAACAAAAAACATTTGCTCGAAGGAGGGAGGGCCCACCATTTCGCCTCGGAAGCTTAGTTTGTTGGGTGCGTGCATGTTCCTGGCTGAAAGCTCCTCTCCGATTTGGTTCCAGGCAAGCCCAACTCGAGATCCATCCCTCTGGAGTGGGAAGACACCTACGGGATCGCCCTGGTCTCCGGGGTGAAATACAAGAAGGGCAGCCTCATGATCAACGACACCGGCCTGTACTTCGTGTATTCCAAAGTGTACTTCCGGGGCCAGTCCTGCAAGAGGCAGCCCCTGAACCACAAGGTCTACATGAGGAACTCGAAGTACCCGCAGGACCTGGTGCTGATGGAGGAGAGGATGATGGACTACTGCACCGCTGGCCAGATGTGGGCCCGCAGCAGCTACCTGGGCGCCGTCTTCAACCTCACCAGCGCCGACCAGTTATACGTCAACGTGTCTGATATCTCTCTGGTCAATTTTGAGGAATCTAAGACATTTTTTGGCTTATATAAGCTCTAAGAAAAGCACTTTGAGATTCTCTCCGTTACGGTTCCTTGTTACAAGCACTGAGAATGTTGTCTTGAAGGAAGGTCTTCTTAAGGCCCCTTGAGGTCAAGTGAGAAGACATAAACCAAGAGGGCCTTGGGACCACAGGGTCCAGCAGGTCCTTGAGCCAGACAGGCTGAGGGAGATAATAGATGAGCATAATGCTCTGGGCTGCGTGTCAAGATGTGGAAGAGGGAAGGGCAGCCACCAGAGCGTTCTACACTCAGCTTCGGTGGCCAAGAATGTTTGCACACATTGCCAAGGACACCTTTGAACTCGCCTCTTGGGTGGGTCTACTGTCTACCTCAGGGGAGGCTGGGCTGTCTTCCAGGTACTCGGTGTGAGACGAGTGGGTAAGGGGTGCACAGGGGCCTCGGCCTGCGTGATGAGCTCGAGACACCGAAAGGCCCGCTTCCCGACAGCAGCACCTTTACTTCCGAAGCCGTAGCCCGGGCCACCAGGTGATGCGGACGGAGAAGCCAGGGAGATCTCTGGGGGCCTCAGTCCATTCCCTATAGAGCATGTACATTTCCTGAGCAATTGTAGGGGTGTGTGCGTGTGTGTGTGTGTGTGTGTGTGTGTGTGTGTGTGAGAGAGAGAGAGAGAGAGAGAGAGAGAGAGAGACTGGGAGAGCCAGCTAAGTAGAGAGAGCATGGATATCAGGAAGGATGTGTTAAGAGAATATGGGGTGCCTTTGGTGTAGGTTTTGAATGCTTCTTGGCAACCGACCCCAAGAGTCCTCTAATCTTTGTCAGCTAGTGATGCTATTTTTCTATGACATAATCCATATTTATATACATACATTTTTGTGTATTTTTAATGAAAAGAATATATATATATATATAATAAAGATCTATTTTAGTACATGGATAACATTATGGATGTACTTTTTGGAAATCACAAAGCTTTTGGTTTTCTTTCTTATCATTCCTTTTTTCCCTGGCTTCTTTACTCGCTACGATTCCAGGCCACTTTCCGGATAATTCGCTGGGGTGCGAAGGGCTTTTCCAGGCCCCAGTCCCCCTCGTCTTCTCCTCCCTCTCCACCCCCATCATCCGAAGGTTCCATCGCCGATATTACAGCCCATGTTAATGGGCCTGCCCAGCTTTCCCTAGACTGAAGACCACCCGCTTGTCTTTTCCTGGGGGCAGGGTCCTAGCACAGCAGAAAAGGCACAGGAAACCTGGACCTGGCACGGGTTTGGACCAAGAAACCTGAATCTGAATCTCCACTCCTCCATTTACTAACTAGGCAATCGCTGTGCAGGTCAGAAAGTGGCACCTGCCCTTATTTGTGAGCTGCTCTGCGAGAGGGCTTCATCGTCCACAGAAGTCGCCGCTCCGGCGGGTCCATCCAAACACCTGGCTTCTCGAATTCTCACCTTGATCACCCACAGGGACTTTCCCCATCTTCGGCCGCTTGTCACCGCGGCCTTCCCCTCGACTTGGTCGTTGTTCAGCATTACCGTGCCTCTGCTGGAATTTGGTTTTGGACCTCTTGTTTTCCCAGCATCCTCTCCTGTCATTCCAGCTCAGTAGCACCAACAGTTTACAGCCATGTTGATATCTCTAATTAATGAACTCTACTACTTTCTTACATGTCTGTCAGCTCCTTCTTTAGCCTCCCTCCTCTCTCTGTCTGCCTTAGGTTCCGTCATCTGTCATTGCCTTCACTACCTTGGAGAGACCCTCAACCCCCAATACCCCGCCTGCTTCCTTCACTGTATTCCTCTCGCAAAACCCCATTTTCTCTGCACTGGCATCCTAGCAGCTGGATGTGCCAGAGAAAAGTCACACAGACTGTCTGGTTTCCTTTCATTTTCAAGCAGCTGTCTGCTTCAGTCAGCCCATCCCTTGCTGGTCCATCACTAATTTGTTTCTGTCGTTTGATGTGAACATGTAACATACACGTGCTGCACAAAATCCCAAAGCTACACCAAACGATAGGCTGAAGAGAAGTCCTTTAACCACTCTGTCCTGTGGCCCCATTTCCACCCACAAAGACAGAGGGTCACTGCCTCCTTGGTAGCTTCCCAGGGAGGGTCTGTCCATAGATATCCCATCACGTGCTGAGCTGGATAATTCTTCATTGTGATGCTGCATCCCTGCCCTCTACCCCCCAGATGCTGGTGGCATTCTCCCCTCCCCTGTGCTGACAACCAGCACTGTCTCCAGACCTTGCCAGATGTCCGTGGGCTGGGGTGGGAGACAAAGTCACCCCTGGCTGAGAACCACCGCTTTACATCAGAGGCCAGAGATCTCAAGCGGGCTCTGAACATGGCCCGACACTCCTTCTGCAGTTTCCTGGTAAGCATGCTTTCCATCGTTCGAGACAATGACATCCCACCTTTTCCTCCTGCAAACCAACCCCCGCCCTCACCACAGAGCCTCCCTCCCATGCCCAGAACCCAGTCCTCTGCCTCTGACTGGCCCCCCTTTCCGTCTGCTACCGTGGAGGAAGAGGGCCACCTCTCCGTTTGTGGGCTAGACCCGCCTTGTCTCCCTTCCTTGGCCCCTTTAAGAATTTCCTTCTCTCTTCTGGATCCTCAGACTATCCCTGTGTGTGAGACCATTTCCGGTAGATGTGCATATGTTCAAGGAACATACCCCCTGTCCCTAAAAGACAGATCAAACACACATGAAAAACTCAAACCTTTTTGTACCACGCTTTTTCTTCCAGTGAGAGCTGCTTTTCTCATTTTCCCGGTTGGAGACAAACATCTCAGAGGGCTGCCTTCACACACACAGGCCCCGTTCATTTCCTTAGCTGGGAATGTGCCTATGTTACTTATTTGACCACTTTAAAAGTATGTTTTCTATTCCCTGCTAGGATGAAAGTTCCCCACGCAAGACCTTTTTCTGCCTTGTTTGCCCCAAATCCACATCGTATACTAGGTGCTCAGTAAGTGTTTGTGGGCGGAATAACCTTAATTATAAGGCAAGTGTCTTCCAGTTGTACCTACGTGGGTATGTTTCGAGAGTAATGAATCTACAATAGTGTTGCTTCCTGAATGTGGGTGCATGTTTGTCTAGCTTTGACTAGATTTTCCAATGGGAGTCTGAGGCTACAGATGGAAAAAAAATCATGCATCCTAATCCATAGCATTGGAAACCAAGATAAATCAGTTCGGCCCCTGGCACTCCCAGGAGTTGGTCAGCAGACTGGTGACAAAAACTGCCAGGACCCTGGTGCCAAAACTGTTGTGTAGAAGGGGCTCCATAAGTAGTTGTTGAATGAATCAATGAACAAAGCCAAAGGTCCAGGTTGGGCTGTGTCACCTGCTTTCCTTAAAACTCTTCTGTCGAGTTCCTGGCCAGGTGCCTCGTGGGAAAAGCCAGAAAGGCCATCATCCCATTGGGCTGCTGGTGTGTTTCCTGGCCCTCAAGGTCAAATCATCCTCACCCCTTTCTTCCTCTTTTGGCGGCAATCATCAAGAAGTTTGCTGGACTTTTTTTGTCTATGGTCCCTTTTTAGATCATGGTAGCGGAGCAAAGAGGAAGTGGTACCACATGCTGAGATGACACAGGGTTATGTGCCATTAGCTCATGGTACTGCCATTGTCACTCTCATCCCTCTAAACCTGAGCTCTAGTAACATGCCTTTGAAATTTCCCGAAGACGGGTTTGCAGCTCACCGTGGTCCTAGGGAAGAGAGGTTAACCATTCACTTCCTTAGGATCCCCCTGAGTCAGGATCCAAGAAAGGTAAGGAGTGCCAGAAACCCAGAACTTCTGAATGTGATGGCTCAAGGTGGAATCCGCCATTGCTCCTTTATAAAATGCTCAACCCAAAGTAGAACAACTTAAAAAAAAAAGTTACCTCTGGTTTAGTAGTTTGAGGTTTTCTTTCTTTTCAGACAACTAAAACCATGCAAAACCGTGGTTTTTTAAAAAGCCCCCCAGATGGGTGACTTTGTGCTCTCTGAAGTAGATTCTGACTTACCACAGCTTGACAGGAAAAGAGCTTCTGTGGGGACCGTCACTGTGGGGGTGACTCATTAGAGACAAAGCTGGTGAAAAGGGGGGGATTGGAGAAGCCCCACCCCTCGAAGCCAGGTACAGTCTCACCGCTGTGCCGTATAGCCGAAACTGGTAGGAGAGAACACTGCGTGTCAACTGTAGTTGGAAAATAAAATGAAAAAACACAAAAATATTTTACTTTGAAAAATAACAATGAAAAAGACTTCCTTAGGGGATTACGTGTGGTCCTTAACTAAGAAAGTGTGTCACCGCATCTTAAAGGACATTTTTCACAGGCGCTTGGTTACGTTTTGATGTTGCAGAGACACATTTTTACTCTCTGCTTTTTGTTCCTTTCTTTCCCAGGGTTTGGGATCTTCCGACGGGCCGAGTGAGGTGCTCCTAGGGAAATAGAATCGAGATCCCTTTCCTCGGGTCTTCAGACTCAGGAAGGAATCTTGTTCTGAAATAATGTTACTACTGACGGTAGCCAGGGGCCTTTGGGATTCCTCTAGAAAGCAGCCGGCCTTGGGAACGCGGACAGCTCTGCGAGCGTCCTGCTCAGCAGGACGACGAGGACCTCAGTCTCACGTCCTGTGGGCAGTCCGGTGCCCTCTCCACGTTCTCGGGCAGTTTCCCTCACCCTTGGGGACGTCCACACTGTAGCTTCAGGCTCTCACCTACGTCCGGCAGCGACTGTTCTCCCGGGCCCCTGCCACGCCCAGGGTGGGAGACCTTCCTTTCCCTTGGCCGCCACTGCCGCAAGGTGCTGGGGGTAGCCAACTGTCACTGAGGGTTTCCAGGTAACGGAGAGAGATGACCTTCCGACACAGTTACACCTCAAGTTGAGTATTAGATGTGGCTATCATTCATATTTGCCACCGTTAGCTGGGTCGATGTGTCACCTCAACTCCTGCTGCTTGAGAGGGTGCAAGAGCTTATTCATTCATTCATTCATTCACTCACAGTGTTTGTCTTGGACCAGAAACAGGCACTGTGGACATATTGAAAATAAAGTCCCCTGTGGCATTATATTTTAGTGGATAGATGGTGAGTAGGTGGCGAAGAAGGAGCAGAAACACCTAGTAAGCTACATGGTAGAAAGGGCTGTGAAGAACCATTAAGTGAGGGGAGGCTGCAGAGAGGGGGGAGGAGGGGTGGCGGTTCGCTCAGCGGCGAGGGGACACTGCTCAGAGCGCAGCAGGTAGGAGAATTGTAAGTGCGAAGTCGTAAGAGCAACAGGTACATCTCTTCCTGAGGAATAAAAATAAAAGGATAATATTACATGTTCATAGCCTTTAAAACATTTTCTCACATGCCTCTTATTGTATATATATATATATATATATATTTTAGAGAGAGAGAGAGAAAAGAACATTTTGCTGCTTCACCTATTTGCATTCATTGGTTGCTTCTTACATGTGCCCGGACCGGGGATCAAACCACGACCTCGGCATACTAGGATGATGCTCTAACCAACTGAGCTACCCAGCCAGGGCTCTTTTATTGTTCTTTTTTAAATACATGAAGTAGTACACATAAAATAAGTTGGCATGTGTCAGCTTCTCCACAAATGTTAGAGGACCGTATTGAATATATTCCATGCTCATTATATTCCCAGCCTGGTATGATGTCATTTTGGTGCCTGGTTTTTTTTTTTTTTTTCCTGAAATGTAATTAGACAGGGTGATGTTTAAACATTTTGGCTGGTGAGCTCTCACGATTTAGCTCCTTACATGGAGCCAACCCCCCCCACTTCACTCCGGGCTGTCTCAGGACAGTCTCTCCTTACGTGAGTGTGAGCGCGCTGAGGGAATTCCCCCTTTCCGGCTTCATCGCAGAAGGGACAGAACTTGGTTCTTCTGCCGTGGCCCTGGCTCTCTGTGGGTGAACCACTTC